GGACTGAAGCTCAATGTCAAGAAAACAAAGATTCTCACCACTGGGCCAATTGGCAGCATCAGTATGGATGGTGAAGAGATTGAGATAGTTAACAGTTTTTCTTTACTTGGTTCCACAGTCAACACTCTTGGTAACAGCAGCCAGGAAATCAGGAGACAAATTATATTGGGAAAGTCAGCTGTGAGAGACCTCTCAAGAGTACTGAAATGCAACGACATCAGGCTGGAAACTAAGGTGCGCCTGATCCAGGCTATAGTCTTTGCAATTATGTGCTATGCATCAGAGAGTTGGACAGTGAATAGGGGATGACAGAAAGAGAATTGATGCCTTTGAGTTGTGATGCTGGAGAAGAGAGTTGAATATACCATGGACTGCTAGGAGAACAAACAGGTTTGTCCTGGAGAAGGTGAAGCCAGACTGTTCCCTGGAATCAAGGATTCTGAAGCTTCATCTGACATATTTTGGGCATGTTGCAAAGAGGGACTGGTCCTTGGAGAAGGACATCATGTTTGGGAGAGTGGAGGGATGGCGCAGGAGAAGAAGACCCTTGATGAGATGGATCGATTTTGTGAGTGGCGTGGTGGGAATGAATGTGTGTGAGACAGCGAGGTTGGCACAGAATAGAATGGTGTTTAGGGCTCTTGTACATAGGGTCGCTATGAGAGGCAAACAACTCGATGGCACGTAACAACAACAACAAAAAAACATGGATAGGAAGACTCAATATTGTGAAAATGGCAATACTACCAAAAGCAATTTACATGATTAATGCAATCCCAATGCAAATACCAATCCCATTCTTCAACGAGATGGAAAAGGCAATCTCCACTTTCATTTGGAATAGAAATAAGCCCCGAATAAGCAAAGCATTTCTTAAAAATAGAAGAAAGGTAGGAGGTATCTCACTCGCTGATTTCAAATCCTACTACACTGCCATGGTGGTTAAGACAGCATGGTATTGGTACAATGACAGACACACACACAGAGATCAATGGAATAGAATTGAGAACCCGGAGATCAGCCCATCTATGATCAACTGATTTTTGACAAGGAGATGAAATCAGTTAAGTGGGGAAACAGCAGCCTTTTTAACAAATGGTAGTGGCAAAACTGAAAAAGTATATGCAAAAGACTCAAGCAAGATCCACACCTCACTCCATATACAAAAACCAACTCAAGGTGGATCATGGACCTAGGACTAAAACCAAGGACTATAAACTTAATTAAAGAAAAGCTTGGAAGAACGCTAGTTCTATTCCACAACATAAAGTTTTCCAAGTATCCTGAAAAATCTACAAACAGGAGAAGATAAAATAGATGAATGGGATCTTCTAAGAATCAAATCCCTATGCACATCCAAAAATTTATCCACCAAGGTAAAAAGGGAAGCTATAGACTGGGAAAAAGTATTTGGTAATGACTTATCAGACTTATATCCAGAATTTATAAAATACTTGAGCACCACAAGATAAAGGTAAATAATCCAATAGAAAAATGGGCACAGGATATCAAAAGGCAATTCACCAAAGAAGACATTCAGATGGCTAACAAGCACATGAAGAAATGTTCAAAATCCCCAGTTCTAAGAGAGATGCAAATCAAAACAGCTATGGGAACAGCAAGCAACAAATGCTGGCGAGGTTGTGGAGAAACTGGAACTCTTATTCACTGTTGATGGAAATGTAAAATGGTGCAACCATGGTGGAAGGCAGTATGGTGCTTTCTCAAAAAGTTGCAAATAGAGATACCATTTGACCCAGCAATTCCACTACTGGGAATATACCTCAAAGAAACCACAACTGACATGCAAGCAGATATATGCACACCCATGTCTACTGCGGTTTTTTTCACAACAGCAAGGAGTTGGAAACAACCTACGTGCCCATCAACAGATGAATGGATAGAGAAGCTGTGGTATATTCACACAATGGAATACTATGCTGCACTGAAAAACAAGAAACTCATTCAATATTATTCAAAATGGGTGACCCTGGAGGACACTATGCCGAGTGAAGTATCTCAGTCACAAAAGGACAAATACTTCATGGTGCCACTGTTGTAAAAGAGGACCGACAGTGGGGTTAGAGGGAGACTAAGAAAGATGGGCTCAATAATGTATACTGCATTGAAACAGATAAGGGAGAAATCTGTTTAAAAAAGAAATGTGATTAGGTATT